ATCTTAAATCTAGATATACGATTTCCAGAAGGGTGGAAATTAGTATTCACTTGAGATGGTGCTTGTTGAGTCGGGTTTTGGTTGAATGAGTGGGATTTGGTTTTGTTTGGGGGGGGTTCCCCCCTACTATCGCTGTATTTATAGAGCTCATAGAGGGTCTGGTGGTTTAGTGGTAAGGTATTGCACTGTTAACACAAAGCTACGTAGTTCAAACCCACCAGCTGCAGTGTGAGAAGGATGGGCCGTCTCCTGTGTAATTTATTGTCTCTAAAAACCAACTGTAGGATCAGCTGTGTGATTTTCACCTCGAATGTACACAATGGATGGAGGGAGTGCCAGTGGAGTTACTGCTAACTGAAAGGCGTCAGCTCTTTGGCATGTCGAATACACTCTGGGAGAAGGATGGACAGTCCCCTCCTGTGCAATATACAGCCTCTAGAAAACCTGTTGGAGGGTCTGCCATGGTTCCAGTTAGACACTATGAGATTTGGAATTTTCTTGAGGAGGGATTGTAGTGTTAAGTGTTGGACTACTAACCAAAAGGTCAGTGGTTTGAAACCACTAGCTGCTCCAGGGAGGAAAGATGGGCAGTCTCCTATAAGGTGTTAAAGCCTCCACACCACGGAGATGGGTATCTGCTGGCCTGGTCTGTGGGGAGTTGCACCACTGACTTCAATGATTTGAATCTACCAGTGGCTCTGTCAGCTACCGGTGGGTTCTGATTTGATGGCTGAACAGCAGATCAAGGGTCACCATGACTCTGAATTCACTTGATGGTAGTAAATCAGGTTGCACTGTATTTAGTAGAACCTCAGTTGGCTTCCCTGCACAGGCTCCTCTACCTGGGAGATGTTACATTTTTCCTTTAGCCTGGAAGCTGGGGGGGTTTTTAAAGAGATTCTCCTTTGAAATTCAAGACATGGCTGAGGGGTGTCAAATAGTCTCTTCCTAAGAGGCAGCCACTTTTAGGTAAAGTTAGGATAAAAGCTCCATTCTAGGTCTAGTCACATACTACTATGGAAAGTTTTTTATAACCACACCTCTGCATCACTGACTAGCTTTAGCCACTTAGGACCTAAAAAAAACAGTGAGTACTTAAACTTTATATCTTTTTACTCTTTGCCTCTGGTGCAAGGGAAATGGGAACCCTAAGATAGATTTGGAAGTATGTGCTGATTCAGGTTGCCAGTGGAAAACCCATAAAGTTTAAAGCTCTAGAACAGTAACTTATCACCAAGACTTTAGCCAAATTAGGCTCTCCAAAAAGTAAGCTGAGAATTTCTTAAATTTTTACTAAGGATCTAGGAACATTCTTTATTGAGATTCCCCTGGACTTTCATTGAATAGTGACATTATTCAGTACACACTTCATTAACCTTCATCTAGTAGAGAGGAATAGGAATGACTTGTAATTTTTTTTTTAATTGGATCCATTTCTTAACCCTCCGAAGGTTGTGGCCCTAAAGCTTCTGGGGAGTGCACAGGAGAGGAACTGCTACCAAACATCCTTTACACCAACTTGTTTTTTATTATTATTATTAAATTTTATTTTAATGAACATTTACAGAGATTTTGGGTTTTCATTCATTTATTGTTGCTCTATTTTCTCTGCCCTCCTCCCCAGTTTGTTGTTCTTTCCCCCCACACACACTAACTTGTTTTATCGTAGAGCTGGCATGACGTGTTTACAGCATAGGCTTTGTATCCACATAGGTCCATAGGGCTTGACTTCTCTGAGGCTCAGGTTCCATTTTAAAGGGACCATAAGAAGAGCAACTGCTAGTCAAGCTTGTTTAGGAATTAAATGAGAGTGGAGATAGTATTTGACACGTTGTATTCATTGATATTCTGGGTTGGGAGATAAATGTAAAGTTTTATGGGTAGATGTTTCTCAGACAAGCTAACGGGTTAAAATTCCCTGAGGCTGAGGCATATGCTAGTCACAGAAGTTCTAGAAACCAGTGAGTAATGAATTGTCTTTAGCTAGCTTGTGCTTACCTGCTACAAGCTAGGAGGAAGGATGAAGTAATTCGACATTTCTTCCATTGCAACACAAGTTACACAGGTAGTTATTGATTGGCGTCCTCACCGCAGTCAGTGTTTGAGGGATGAATGTAAGGAGCTGCTAGCTCAGAATAACCTAGTTATTTCACCACCCCTGTGCTAACAAAAGAGGATGAAGTAGAATCAGGTGAATCAAGTGTGTGTATCATTGCATCCTTTGGAGCTTCAATTCAGTACTGTAACAGATACATTCTTAATTCAGTACTTATCATTATATCCTTTGGAGCTTCAAGTTAATAGATGCATTCTTACTTTGCCATTTATTAGGCACTTAGGATTTTGTTACCTGCAATGAAGAACCTTGCTTGTTTGCAGTACACTTTCTGAATGCCATTTTTTAATTCTTCCCACTATACACACATATATCAGCAATCTTCCTCTTCCACACCTAGTCTTGTCTCTCTCTTTTGTATTTCAGAGTGTCTAACATACCAGAAGATGGAATCAAGATCTAGAGTGGTGCCTGTGACTCATCAACTGCTGCACTCCCCAGACAGAACTCTGGCTTCTGTGGAGATCTAGATTTAACAGCTCCACAGTCCTTGATCCCATCACCAATGAAACTTGAGAACCAACTTTAACCATCCCCACCCCCAGGTGAGGGAACTAATTGGAATTACTGAGAACTTCACAACTACCTCCTAAATCCATTTCCTCCATAGTTTACTACAAAACTGACCATGTTTCAAATTGTGTAAAATTAGTCAGCCTTGTGTCCTAGATGGAGAATGAAGAGGGAAGAAAGGATAAAACAAGTTGAGAACGAGGATGGGAATCAGAAGGCTAAGAGGCAGAGCGCTAACAATCTAGGGTAAGGCAGCTCTGTTTCTGAGATAATGCAAGCACGTGCATTGAGTGTGAACTACTGACCAGAGAAAGGTTAAGTACAAGATTTGGAACCAGAAACCAGCATCAGCACATGCTATTAGACCTTAATTCCTATCTATAAAATGAAATCTAGAGATACCCTTTGTAGATTCTTCGTCCCTAAACTGTTATATTAATCATCCTAATAGCGTGTCAACTACCACCTACCATGCTCTTTAATCTATTTACATAAAATTAACTTCAACAATTAAGGTAATAATAGATTGTATTTTATAGACAGGAAAGGAAGCCATGCAGTTATTAGGTGCTGTTGAGTTGGCTCCATAGTGACCCCATGTCAGAATGGAGCACTGCCTGATCCTGTCCCAGCCTCAATTGCTGTAATCGAACCCGTTGTTGCAGCCACACTGTCAGATCATCTCGATGATCTTCCTGTAGAGAGTTGCTAAGCCAAAGGCTGTGCCACTCTGATGTTCAAATCCACTATTGACTTTTAAGTGAGAAAAATGAACAATCTCCTGTGCAGTTTGCAACCTTAAAAACCCAATGGCAGATCGGTTATGAGTTGATGCTGACTCAACTTCAGTGAGTTGGAGGTTTTCTTAAACTTTTCTAACCATGGTATCTTTCTCCAGTATCTAGCTTTTCCTGATCACATGTGCAGTATGTGAGGCAAACACCATCCTTGCTTTAAAGGAGCATCTTGGTTGCACGTCTTCCAAGACAAATTGGTCATTCTTTTGGCAGCCTGTGGTCTTTTAAATAGTCTTCACCAATAATGACACAAATCAAAGCCATCAATACTTTATCATTGCTGTTATGTGCCATCAAGTTGACTATGATTCATAGTGACACTATGAACAACAGCACTGAATATTGACCTATCTCCAACTTCATCTCTGATATGCCTAACGCCATTGAGTTACTGTCAGTCCATCTCATCCAGGGTCTTCCTCTCCTGTGCTCACCCTCTACCCATCCAAGGGTGATGTCCTTCTCAAGGACTGGCCACTCCTGACAACATGTCCAATGTATATGAGATGGAGTTTCAAAATCCTTGCCTCCAAGGAGCAGCCTCTCCATGGCAGACCTGTTTGTTCTTGTGGCAGTGCATAGGATGTTCAATATTCTTCTCCAGCACTGCAACTCATAGGCATCGATTCTTCTTCTGTCATTCTTCTTTATTATTGTTCAGCTCTCAGATGCATAGCAAGCAATTGAGAAGACCTTGGCCTGGATCGGGCACACCTTAGTCTTTAGTCTTGACACCTCTGGAGAGGTCTCTGACAAAAGATTTTCCCAGGGCAACTCATCTTTTGATTTCTTGACTGCTGTTGCCAAAGATGTTGTCTTCCTTATACATTGCCCAACTTCCACATGCATATTCAACTCAACAATACAACTCATTGCCCGCAGAGTTGGAGAACTGACTCATAGCTGACCCTCCATTTTCAGAGGCTGTAAAATGCACTGGAGGAGATCTTTCTCCCAAGGGGTAGCTGGTGGATTGAAGCTGTTTACCTTTGGCAGCACAACTCCACCCACTCTCAAAGCAACATACTTTCCCTTTAACATCTTTAAAGTGGTCCATTTTAGCAGACTTGCTTAATGCAATTGAAGCATTGAGAAATTACTATAGCCAATATTACACAGTATCCAGTAGGTCTGTCTGTCAACAAAGGTCATGTTAACTGTTTTCTACCTGTCAGTAAAGGCCATGTAAAAGAACTTTTCTGGTCAAAAAGAAATTACTAGCTTCCCTTTGCAGTCTGCTTTTTAGCCATTCTTGCCATCAAGAGTACCGTGCCTGCCCTCACGGCCACTGGATATTGCTGCTGTGGAATTAGAAGCCGAAACGAACAGCAGGCTTCTTTATGGCTAACGTGTGCAGCAGCTTGAATCTTCCGGACACCCGGAACCGTCTACACCACTGTTAATGCTGTGCAGGGGTGTGCCTCTTCCGGGTGTGCCTGAAGGTGGGGCCAGATAAGAGCGGCAGTTGTGGTAACCAATAGAAAGGGACATTGTTGGGCTAGAAGCGAATGAAAAATTGGTGCAGGGAAAGCGGCGGTAATGTTTGGGGATTGTGGACAGGTTTGGGAAGGAACATGCGGCTTTTTCAGAAGTGGCCACGGATTCGGCTCCCAGGGTTTCATGCCTGCGGGCTGTGCACGGTGCGTGAAGCATCCAAAGGTTTAGAACCGCGTCAAATTCAGCCCACTTGAAACCTAAGGTGTAGACTCCACGTGACCTGATGTAGCGTCAGGGCTTTAATCTGGTACATCGCTGGACCAGGGTTCTAGAGACCAACAACCTTGGGAGTTCATAACTCCGTAGGGCCTGCACTCTAGCGTCCTGTATCCTGCCCAGTGCTCTTAAAAAGTATCCAATGCCTCTTAAATTCCCTCATCTCCGCAGTTCCCAAAAAAAGGAATTATGGGACCTGTGTTACATTCTAACCTATCTTTCCCTCCAGGCAACTGTGCCAACCCCTCCTCTTTGGTTGACAGAGCGACTCGCACTTTTTGAGGAACTATGGGCTGCTCAAGTAAAGAAGTCAACCAACATGGCACAGAAAGAACATCGGACTATTAAAATATCGCTTCCTGGAGGTCAGAAAATGAATGCTTTGGCGTGGAGCACAACTCCTTACCAACTAGCCTGGCAAATAAGGTACCAGGCCCTTCCTGGACCGAGGGTCATACTCCTGCCTCGATTCTTTGGACTTGAACAGGGAAAGAAAAATTGGTCTGTTTGTTTCTATTCCATCTATTCCTTAAAGATAGCCTTTCTTGATGATGGTCTGCTGATTTTCTGTTAATTACTGGGAGGTGGGAATGTTGGGCAGACATGAAATTACTGAGATTAGTCTCTCTGCTATTGTGGATTGTAACTGTCTTTTTCCTCACTTCTCCTCCCCATCACCCAAGTTCAACACTGGCAAATACTGCTGTGGCTGCTGAAGTGAATGGAGAACTGTATGATTTGGTCCGACCCTTGGAGACAGATTCAGATGTCAGGTTTCTGACATTTGAGTCACCCGAAGGGAAAGCGGTAAGCTTCTTCCTTGTAAGAAATTCAGTGGCTACTAAACTATAAAATGTGCAAGCGGGAACTTCTAGTATTCATTTTCTTTGTCTCAGTTTCCCTCTTTACAGTAAGAAGGAGAGGTACATTTTGTGTGCTTGTTTCTTTAATATTTTACTATGTCCAAGGTGAGAAGTGACATAGCAAATTGGGTCTCATTAAACAATTTCTATATGAATTATTCATGGATATTGATGATATTCTTCACACTATATCACATTCTGAGTTAGTCCATTCTCGTACTATTCTGAATTCTTAAATTTCCTTATCTCCTTCTTAATTTCCTTGTCTCCTCACCTTAATTTTGCTGTGGAGTTCATTTTGATCAGTTGGTTTTATTTTTATTTTTATATATATATATATATTAACAGCTTATTACTCATGAGTGATATTCTTTATTAACCAATTTTTTTATTTAGCTAAAAGGAGACCTCACAGGATAGTTTTTATTAAAGATTTGAAATGTGTCTCTGTATGATATTCCTGGGGGATCTGGTTTCAACTGGTCCAAAAAGTGTTGATATTTTGAGACTTTGAGTTATGCTCCACCTTTCCCCCCCATTTTATAAATATTTATCTACTGTGGCTATAATAGAAGAGTCACGGGAGCTCCAATTCTTCTGTTCTTGGGGGTAGTTGAGACTGTAGTTAAATAATGGAGATTATTAGTCCTGTGAGCTAGTAGATTGAGTCTTTGGTTGCCTTCTTTCCCTTTTGTCCCAAACTAGTAGAGACCAATAGACTGATGTGTCTTAACTATTCCCACCCCAGCTAGAAGCCTAAGATGGAAATTTGTATGTGGGCAGCCTGGATTTATTAGGTAGACATAATTTTTGTTACTGAACGAATACTAATAAATTGAGAAACAGAAGAGTAGAATACCAATTATATCCCCTTAACTATTGAACAAACACATTACATAGTGTATCATTACTTGGCCTCCATAACTGGGCACACAGGTCCTTTTCATTTCAGTTCAGTAATACGGACCTCACCTATTAGAATCCAAAAGAAATAAAGATTTCACGTCATCTAAGGAACCCTGATGGCATAGCATTTACAGAGTTTAGATGCTAACCAAAGGTCAGCAGTTTAAACATACCAGCTGCTCCACTGGAGAGTGATGAGGCTTCTGCACGGATAAACAGCCTTGGAGAATGTATAGGCAGTTCTCTGTCCTATAGGGTTGCCATGAATCAAGTTGATGGCTGTAGATTGGGTTTTGGTTTCATTGCGTAATATGATGACCAAACCCCTACAGGCTGGCATATCACATCTCACACTAGAGTCCTGCGAGGGGATGAGGCAAAGGACTGAAAGATCAAGCAGAGCCCTACCTAAGGGTCCGTTATAGGAAGACTGTTTACTCTGAAGCCCGAAAAGAGAATGTTAAAGGGTTACCCAAAAAACATGAGCCGACCTCTGGCCTTTGTGCTCCAAAATACTGAGTTTGTGCTTTCTTTTCTTTTTCAAAAACTTTTTAAATTTTAGTGAAGGTTTATAAAGAGATTGCTTTTTATTCATCCTTGCAGTTTTTCCTCCCTCCCCCTCCTCTAATTCTTGTTCTAGGCTGTTGTCATACACATGGTTTCTAATCGCACATTCCTTTCAGATTGTCCTTCCTGTCACCCATTCCAGAGCACTATTCATTATCCATTCTTTTCTCACTCTTTACTGACCCCCACAACTCGATCTTATGAGTTATGCAATATTTACGAGTGGGTTATGCAATATTTGTTCCTCTGTCACTGAAATATTTCACTCAGCATAATGTCTTCCACACTTATTCATGTTGTGTTTGTATAGTGTTTTATGAGTTCATTGTGTTTCAGTGCTATGTAATATTCCATTGTGTGAATGTACCATAGTTTCTCTATCCAGCCAGTTTTTGGTGGGCATTTGGACTGCTTCTATCTCTTTGTTATTGTGAATAATGCTGTGATAAACATGGATGTGCATTCTGTTTTCCGTCATTACATTTTACTGTTTAGTGTTCACCTACAAGGTCTGGTTTCTTCATTTTGTGGTTATTCCTAGGAGAACAGTAGTGGATTTCCCACCAGCTTCTTTGAGGAGAGAATCAGCACATTAGGGAGAAGCTCATAAATTCTTTTCCTTTGAACCCAGGTGTTTTGGCACTCCAGCACTCGTGTCCTGGGAGCAGCAGCTGAACAACTCCTAGGTGCTGTTCTTTGTCAAGGTCCGAGTACAGAAGGTGGTTTCTACCATGATTTCTTCCTGGGGAAAGGGCGGTAAGTAGTGCACAGCAGAAAGGGCATGGTTCTGGGGTGCTTTATGAGGCCCTTTCTGGCACGTCAGGCACTTCCAGTTTAGAAGCAAAAACTGGGAGATAGCTGCTGCCAGAACTTTGCCAGAACTGAGAATATAACTGGGTTGGACACATCTCTAGACTTGAGAGGAAGTTCCCTGTAATCCTTCACCCACCACCATCCCTTTCCAGGGGTATGCATATTGGATGCATATACAATGCTTGGCACAGAATAGAAACAGTCTGTATCATTGTCGTACCATTACTGTTGTTACTGTAAGTCCTCTCTAACCTTCAATGGTGATAGTGGTACCACCTTCACTAATTTATGTCCCTTTCTTGTGTCTTATCTTGCTTGACACTTACCTTCTTTATGAAATCTTCAAATTTTACTTCTTTTCCTCTTTATTTTTTCTTTAATTTTAGCCAACCATGTTACATGCATTCCATTTTTATTTTTATTTTGTGCATAGTGTCTTTTCTCTTGCTGTAAAAACCTACCTGATTTTCTAGTCTACTTTCTCTGAGTATGTTTTTTATAAATAATTTTAGGATACAAGATTTCAATCCTCATTCCTGCCCCTTGAGCTATAGATGCTTCTTAAATGATGCGTCTTAGGTGATACAGGTCAACAAACTCTTCTCTTTCTAGCTCTGTCCAGGGCTCAGAGCTGCCTGTTTTGGAGAAAATTTGCCAGGAACTTATAGCTGCTGCTCACCCCTTCCGGCGACTAGAAGCTTCTCGAGATCAGCTTCTCCAGCTCTTCAGGGTAGGGTGGAGATGCTTAGTTTTAGAAGAAAGATCCAGAAGTGTTGATGGGAGGGATGGCTCTTTTCCAGGGCATCTTTGTGTCTTCACTTTTCTATGTTTTTCCAGGATAACCCCTTTAAGCTTCGCCTGATTGAGGACAAAGTAGCAGGTCCAACAGCAACAGTATATGGGTGAGTGTTGTCAAGAATGGAGAAACATAGAGAGGTGGGGCAGCAGGAAAGAAGGCAGAAAATGGGATAAGAGAAAGAGGCTACAAGGTAATCTGTGTTTCTACAAAGAAATGGAAACCGGAATTAACTTTTGTCTCTCATTCTTCCATCTGTAAAGCAACCCCTCTTCACCTCTTCTTTCTGTTAGCAGGACCGTGAGAGGGAGAAAACTAGAAGCACAAGAATTTGGGCATCAGGAGAGGGGTGAGGAGTAGGAAATATTCAGTGGGAACTTGAAAAGACACTGTACTACTAGATACAGATTAGTGGTAATTAACTATAGGATACAATGTGTCTGAATGATTATATGAAACAAGGTAAATGAAAGAATGTATATGAACAAAACACAATGTAAATTATTACATGAAAACAAATAAAAGGAGGGGGGGAGAGGGTAGGAAGAGGGAAGGAGAGATGATCACTGGGATGGTGGAGGTGGGGAGGCAGACAGTGAGGAAGGCTCAGTGTAGACTTAGGGGTCAGTGTAATAATAGACATGGATAGGTGATGGTTAATTGTATGAAGTACCGAGTATAAGACCAGTTGTGTGGGGCACAGGCATAAAGCGGGGGGTCAAGTGAAGTGTTTATGGGTGGTTATTTGCAAATCACTTTAAAATAAAATGGAGGGAAGTAAAAAAAAATTAGACTGGACATTGTAGACTTAGAAAATGTCTTAACTTTGGTCAATACTTGATTGGAAGTACTAAAAGGGAAAATCTGTCCTGGAGATAAGCTTGTTTAAAGTAAAATCTAGTAGTGGGTATTAGCCAGTACTCTGGGGAGACTCTCATTTGAATGGCTTTGTAAACCTTGGACTTTTGATTAAAGAGATTGACATTTGAAAGGCAGACAGGAAAGGAGAGGAGGGGAAAGAAGAGACTGTCCTTTTAAATCTGAAACCAGCGGTTTGAGTTCTGAGGCTGGCCGGGTAAAATTGGTGCCCATCAGAGCCCACTTCCAGGACTCGGTACTGGAGGGAGCTGGCGAGTGTGCTCACTCATAGGGATCACCTGTATCCACTGGAGTGGAAATGGGAGGAACACAACCATGGAGAAGCAGGCTGACTTGGATGTGTTCCATCAGCACTGTCCACCTCACCTGCACTAATGTGTGGTTGAGCAGGGAAAGGTTGTTGGCTTGAGGAGCAGGGAGTCTAAACAATCCTGGCTGGTTGACTTGGCCCCATGTCAGGGGTAGGACTGAGAAAAAGAGACCAACAAGTCTGGAATGCAGGGAGAAGTGTAGAATCCTGTTTGTGACTGATGCCTATTTGAATCTAACCACAGATAGCTGGGGATGAGTTGCCTGCAACCCAACCAGATGAAGAGAAAATGATCCAAGCTGTGAGTTAGGGTTGATTGCTGCAACCTAATGCCTTGTTCAGGACTGGACTTCGCTTGTGAATGCAGATGCTCATAGTTTCCAAGTTGAACAGAGGATTCTTCAGCAAAAGGGATGCTTGTTTCCTCAGAGATCTGGTTTGATAGGGATGAGCAAATCGGAAATTGGCTATCTAAAATAGGAAAATTAAGGCAGAAGGCACGAAGTAGCTTGGCTTTCACAAATATAGTTATTAGTAAGATGACTGTAAGAGGAAATCCTCCCAACAATATTCATGAAAAAAAATACAATTTAAGTGAAAGGGTATATAAAACATAATGTACATACATAAAACACAGTATATATGAATGATAAAAACCTTAATAAAAACTTTTTTTATTTATTTTATTAAATTTTATTAGTTTTAATGAACATTTACAGGGATTTTGGGTTTTCATTCCTTCATTGCTGCACCATTCTCTCTACCCTCCTCCTCAGTTTGTTCTTCTTCCCCGCCATCCGAATGTCTGTTTTAATTGTTCAATTACCACAGTGCTTGTCAAAGTCAGTTCTGATTAATCTCCTTTGTCGGTGTGTCCTTTGCCATTCCCTATCACTCCTCTCTGAGAGAGACTTCACCCTGATTCATAAGGAAAAGGGGATGGCGTATTCTCTTAGCTACTTCCTGCTGAAAAGGGACGCTGTGGGTTTCAGGGTGAAGATCTTCTCTCACTACTCTAAAGGGCCCCTTTGGCAGTAGGAAACACACAGACTATTATGGAGATTGATTTTGGAATTTAGATGCACTGTTATTAATTGTGCTTAGCCGTACATGTTCATATCCCTGTAGATGTATCATGGGGGGGTTGCAACCTAGAAGACACAAATTTAACTAACAAGTTATAAGTACATGAGTCAAAAATTATGGAAAAGTAAAAGAAAAGATTCTTTCATTGTTTTACAAACCCTCCCCCAGGTCCCCTCCACCGTGTAGCCCTTGCTCTAGACTCCTGTGATGACAGAAATACCTAGTCACATATCTCTTTTACACAGTTTTCTCCCTCCTCTGTTTCAGTGCAGTATACATTATTGAACCCATCTTACTCAGTCTCTCCCCAACCCCGAGGTTAGTCCCATTCTACAACAGTGGCATCATGTAATATTTGTCCTTTTGTGACTGGGATATTTCACTCAGCATAATGTTCTCTAGAGTCAACCATTTTGAATAATATTGCATGAATTCCTTGTTTTTTAATGCAGGATAGTATTCCATTGTGTGAATATACCACAGCTTCTCTAGCCATTCGTTTGTTGATGGGCACTTAGGTTGTTTCCAACTCCTTGCTATTGTGAACAAAGCTGCAGTAAACATGGGTGTGCATATATCTGCTTGGATGTCAGCTATCATCTCTTCAGGGTATATTCCCAGTAGTGGAATTGCTGGGTCAAATGGTATCTCTATTTGCAACTTTTTGAGAAAGCGCCATACTGCTTTCCACAGGGGTTGCACCATTTTACACTCCCACCAACAGTGAATCAGGGTTCCAGTTTCTCCACAACCTCGCCAGCATTTGTTGCTTGCTGTTCTGTTAAATTTTGCTATTTTGACTGGGGTGAGATGATATCTCATGTTGTTTTAAATTGCATCTCTCTTAGGGCTAGGGATTTTGAGCATTTCTTCATGTGCTTGTTAGCCATCTGAATGTCGTCTTCGGTGAAGTTAAGAAAAACATTTTAAAATTAATTTGGGTAAAGGGAGCTCTTCTGGCTTAGTGGCAAGAAGCTGCACTGCAATCCCAGAGGTGTATGGATCAAATCCACCAGATGCTCTGTTGGAGAAGGAGGGGCAATCTCCTCCTGTACCTCAGATCTGATTTGATGGTACACACAAAAAAAATTTAAAAAAAAAAATTTGGGCATCACTAACTGACCTCTTTTTTCTCCTTAGGTGTGGCATGTTGGTTGACCTTTGTCGGGGGCCCCACTTACGGCATACTGGGCAAATTGGAGGACTGAAGCTGTTAACGGTGAGTTATGCAGGCGGAGTTAGCTTGAAACTTCTCTTTTCACTAGAATGAGCAATGGAATCGGAGATGCTTCTTTCTCAATTCCTTTTCTACTCTGTTAGTTAACGGGGGAATCCAAAAAGAGAAAGAAATATAGTGCCTGCATTCTAGAAACTCCCAGTCTGATCAGATACTGAATACCCTGAAGGGCCAGAAGCCACTTGAAATTCTATAGTTAGACATCAGTGCTGAGAGAGAGAGGAGGATGAATATGAGCAGGCTGGACAAGGCCTCTCGAGGAGGGAGTCTATGAGAGAGGGAGTTTGGTCCCGCAAGATGGTAACACATCTTGACAGTCACAGGGAGAATACCCTACGTCAGGGCATGCTTTTGCCATCTAAATTATTAGATGGGATATAAGTAGGCAGTGAGAAGAGAGCCAGATAAATCCAACACTAAAACAAATAGCTTCCATCAGGTTTCTAAAGCTATAAATCTTATGGGGGGAAAAACGGCCCATCTTTCTCTTAGGTGTGGCTGATGAATTCAAACTTCTAACTTTTTTATCAACAGCTGATATGCACTGCATCACCTGAACTCCTTAGGCAAATGTACAGAGCATCATAAAAATGACATGGTGGGGGGGGAGACCTCTGATCTCTTCTAGCCTCACATGCGGAGGGAGGGTCAAGATCAACAGCCCAAAGCTGATTGCTATGAGGCAGAGATTAGACCTTCACACTTTCAACCAATTCTGACCACAGCTATCCCACACAGCAGTCTTCACTTCTGGTTTGTTAATTTGTTGCTGTGGCCACCCAGCACTCACAGACCATACTATTGCAAGGTTTATTTGGGAAAAAAAGAGGCTCTGAATCAGAATCAACTTAGAAGTAACAGGAACAACTGAGAATATAGTTATTCCTAATCAGAAGGGAGTTCTGGTGGACTAGTGGCAAGAAGCTGCACTGTAATCCTAAAGGCATATGGTTCAAATCTACCAGCTACTCCATATAGGAGAAGGATGGACAGCCTCCTCCCATGTGATTTATTGCCTCTGAAAACCCACTGGAGAGTTCAGCTATGGGTTGGTTCTGACTCGATAGCACATAACAATAATCAGAACAGCTGTTTGCCCTCTACCACTGGGCTGTACTTAGAGCCTTCTTGAGCAAGTGTCCACCTCTGTCAGCAAGCCTGCCAGAAAGTCCACATCAGCGTTAGGAATAATCAGCTAATGCATGAGAAGGCATCTGAGAAGAGGTTAAAAGGGCTACAAAAATGTAGACTGCTTCTCATTGTGACCGCTTCTCATTGTTATTATCAAAGGAATATAAAAGAACAGTTGCTATATTTCAACAAATAGACACTGCCCTGGATGTTCTTACCAAGTTGTGCCAAGAAATCTGGAGGACAACCACCTGGCCAACTGACTGGAAGAGATCTGTTCCCATTCCAAAGAAAGGTGACCCAACAGAGCGTGGAAATTATCAAACAATATCATTAATATCCCATGCAAGCAAGATTCTGCTGAAAATTATCTAAAAACAACTGCAACAGCACATCAGAAGAAAACTGCCAGATATGCAGGCTGGGTTTAGAAGAGGTTGTACTAGGGATATTATAGCTAATGGTAGATGGATCTTGGCTAAAAGAAGAGAGTACTAGAGGAATGTCTATCTGTATTTCATTGACTATGCAAAGACATTTGACTGTGGATTACAACAAACTGTGGCTGACTCTGGGAAAAATTAGAACCTCAGAACACTTGATTGTGCTAATGTGAAACCTATACTTGAACCCGATTGTCAGAACAGAGCAAGGAAACACTGCATGGTTCAAAGTTGGGAAGGGAGTACGCCAGGGATGTGTCCTGTCTCCATACCTTTTCAATTTGTATGCGAAACAGATCATCCAGGAGGCTGGGCTCTATGACGAGGAATGTGGCATCAGGATTGGAGGAAGATTCATCAACAACCTGTGTTATGTAGGTGACAAAACCTTGCTGAAACTGAGGAGGACATGAAGTACTTGATACAGAAGGTCAAGTACTGCAACTTTCAATATGGATTGAAGCTCAACATCAAGAAAACAAAAATTCTCACCACTGAGCCAGTTAACAGCATCATAGTGAACGGTGAAGAGCTTGAGATTGTTAACAGTTTTAATTTGCTTGACTCCATAATGAACAGTCTTGGTACCAGCAGCCAGGAAATCAGAAGGCTAGTTGCATTGGAAAAGTCTGCTGTCAGGACTGCTCTAGAGTACTGAAAAGCAACAATGTCAGTCTGGTGACTAAGGTGTGCCTGATCCAGGCCATGGTCTTCATAATTACACACTAAGCATCAGAAAGCTAGACAGTGCCAAGGGTTGATAGGAGAATTAATGCTTTTGAGCTGTGGTGCTGGAGAAGATTATTGAATATACCATTGACAACTAGGAGAATAAGCAGGTACATCCTGGAGAGTGAAACCAGACTGCTCCTTGGATTCAAGGATTCTGAAGCTTCATCCGACATACTTTGAACTTGTTGCAAGGAGGGGCAGGTCCTTGAAGAAGGATGTCATGCTTGGGAGGGTGGAGGGACAGCGCAGGAGAGGAAGACCCTCGATGAGGTGGATTGATTCAGTGACTGGGATAATGGGGGTGGGTGTGTCAGAGACAATAATGTTGGCTCAGGATAGAGCAGGGTTCAGAGCTGTTGTACAAAGGGTCACTGTGAGTCACAGGCAACTTGATGGCACGTATCAACAATAACAACAATAAAAGAACAAAAAAAAAAATCTCCAAACTCATCACCCTCATCTCGATTCCAACTCCTGGTAACTCTCCATCTTATTTCCTTGGTTGTCGATGTTAATGAGTTCTGGTGCTGGTGGTAGTGGTGGTGGTGGTTGTTTGCCATCCCTTTGGAACTGACTCATAACTGACCCTCCAGCGGAGGGCAATTTAATTGCCTAGATTACCTATCCTGTGAAGCAGCTCGTAGTTTTGAACATCATACTTTTGGGATGGCAGCGCAGCTCCTTACTGCCAGGCCACCAGAACTCTATAATGTTAATGAGAGGAAATTCCATCATTTTCCCCTGGTGTTAGCAAGTAGATCGAACCACTGACCTTTCATTTACCCCTCCAACACATAATTCATTGTGTCACCATGGCTCATAAAGAGTAAACAGAGGCATTTGGATTTCTTTATATAGACAGTTGTGCTTTCTGCCAGCTGTATAGGAAACTGATGAGATGGGTAGACTGAGAGGTGATGAGAATTGAGAGTTACTTTCCTGAGCAGCCCTTAATTAAAAGGGAAAGAGCCAAGTGCAGGGGTCCTGGTAAAGGTAGAGAGAATGATGACGAGGGGGCGGGGTAAGATTAGGCTTGATAAGGATGTAGGATGTTCATGATGATCAAAGGTCAGACAATTTAAGGTTGTTAACATGGCTTGGGGTCTAGAGGCGAACCCTGCTGAGTGATGGTAGAAGTAGTGAAGGAGACTGAAAAGGAGTCCTTACTAAGCGCAACACCTGTGGTCCTTGCACTGAGTTTCATGGGAGAGCGGAAAGGAAGAGTTTGGGGTGACTTCAATCCTGATCTTCTGCTTGATTCTTTGAATCCTCCCACAGAACTCCTCATCCTTGTGGAGGTTTTCAGAGCCCCCAGAGACACTGCAGCGAGTGTCAGGGATTTCCTTCCCCACAGCAGAAGGGCTGCAGGCCTGGGAAGAACAGAGGGAGGAAGCTGAGTTACGGGACCACCGGCGCATTGGAAAGGTACAGAGATTGGGGGCCAGGGAATGATGATGATGATAATAAAGGCTAGAATGAGAAGAGCAATCTGAAGTTGGGAGCAGATTCAGCATCAGACTGAGTTGTTCTGTTTGTTTATTCTGATTTCTCAAGCACATCTTCCCTCTTGAACTCAGGAACAGGAACTCTTCTTCTTCCATGAACTGAGCCCTGGGAGCTGCTTCTTCTTGCCACGAGGGACAAGGATCTATAATGCACTGGTGACCCTCATTAGGGTAAGAGGGGAGCAAAGCCCACACGTGGTAGGGGCCTAGCACAAGCTGAGGTGTTAGAGTCACCTGAAGGGGATTGGAAACATGAATACAAGTGCTGTAAAGTGCTGGTGACTTTCATCCAGATCCTAGAACTATAGAGACTGCAGCAGGAGAATAGAGCGGGAACATGATTCTTCGTGACTGACCTACAAAAGCTGGGGGCCCCAGGAGCAGATGCTGTGCTTTCTCGCCTAGTCTCTGTGACCTTCCATGTCTGTACATTCTTCTCCAGGAGGAATATGCCCGCCGAGGCTTCTCAGAAGTAAAAACTCCAACACTGTTTTCTACTAAACTCTGGGAACAGTCTGGACACTGGGAGCATTATAGGGAAGACATGTTTAGCCTGCAGCTCCCTGGGTCTGATAGACCCCCCAGCTTCCCAGGTGACCACTCCAGCGGCCATCAAGCCCACACCACACTTGCACTCAAGCCCATGAACTGCCCTGCACACTGGTGAGCTGGGAACCAGGCAGCCATCCTGGTTTCTCTCATGTTTGTTAGGACACGAGTCTTTGATCTGCTCTGTAGCTAGCTATAGATATGAAGAGAAATAACTATTAAGTATCTTTATTAGTAAAATCAAAGATTTCCAATTTCCTCTTTCAGCTCAGTACCTATCACATAGCAAGGCAACTGTAAATTAATGGTGCTTTTGTCATGTAGTTCACTTGTGAAGCCTCTAGGGCTCAGGCTGCGATGAGTGTGACATTGACGGGATTCGGGGACCGGGCATGCCAAAGCAGGAGAGGACGTTAGCTGGTGATGCAGAGACAGCAGATAGGCGGATTGGACAGGAGACTTGCTCTGTCCTGACCTGTCCCCACCTCAATCTCAGCCTGATGTTCGCCCACCGGCCCAGATCCTGGCGAGAGCTGCCCCTTCGGCTTGCCGACTTTGGAGCCCTGCACCGAGCTGAGGCTTCTGGAAGCCTGGGGGGACTGACTCGGCTGCGCTGCTTCCAGCAAGATGACGCTCACATCTTCTGTGCCCTGGATCAGGTGCACCTTCCCCTGCTCCACCATAGCATTTTATTTATTTCTTTTAATGATGTACTTTGTTATTGTTGCAAATACACAGAGCAAAACATACAGTAGGTCAACAATTTCTCTGTGTACAGTTTAGAGACACTGATAACGTTCTTCAAGCTGTGCAACCATTCTTACCTTCCTTTTGCAAATGATTTCACCACCATTAACATAAAAGCTTCCTGTCTGACCTTATCAGCTGCTGTTGTCAGTTTGATCTTATATAGAGTTCTTTAAAAGAAGTGTTCAGGGTAAACTTTTTTTTTACTAAGTAAGCTAAACTCTTGGCCTAGTGGATAAAGAATTGCACTGCCACTCCAAAAGCAAATGGTTTGAAACCACCAGCTGCTTTGTGGGAGAAAGCTGGACAGTCTCCTCCTTTGCAATTTATAGCCTTTGAAAACCTGCTGGAGGATTGTAGGTAGTCAGTTCGCATCCAGTGACTGTGAATTTTGAATATTGTGTAGTTTAAAAAAGACGTAAAGGATTATTTTTTTGTGGTAGCATTTTAACGCACCTTCCATTCTCCCTTTGAGCTTCCAACATTCTCATCTTCAGTTACACTTTGTACATAACACATTTCAGCTATGTTCCACTCCCAGCTTTTCTCTGCTTCCTCTCTATGCTCTGCCCTCTGTCTCCAGCGAACTATCATCACCCTGATACCTGGTTAGCACATCTCACCCTATTTACTGCCTATAGTTGGAATCAGAGATCCGGGACGCCCTTGATTTTCTCCGCGCCGTCTATGCTCAGCTCGGCTTCTCCTTCCGTCTGGCACTGTCTACCCGGCCATCTGGCTTCCTGGGGGAGTCTCACCTTTGGGACCATGCTGAGCAGGTAAATAGGAGATGGGAAAGCTGAGGCAGATAAACTACTCTCCAGTGAAAGGGGTAGGGGACAGGATTTAAAGACAGAGATAGATGCTGAGGAGGGTATTTACTGGGACTGGAGGAAAATGTTGCTCAAAAGGGTCAAAGATGTTCCTCTCTTATGTCATTACTTGTATAGGTCCTTCATCAGGCCCTAGAAGAATTTGGGGAACCTTGGGATCTCAGACCTGAAGATGGTGCCTTTTATGGACCTAAGGTCAGTTGTAGACTCTGGTTAGAGGTTTATTTATTCATTTCTTTTCCCTTTTGTTCTATTACATGGTTGAGTAGGTACAAAGGATCCTTTTTTATTTGTGTAGGCAATAGAGAAGAGTAGTATAGGGCCTGCCCTCTTTCAGCCTAGTGAGGACTATAAGGAAGTGAAATAAGTGTGTTAGTATGCTGCGGTCAGTGCTGTGTGGGAACAAAGGGTGTGTTGATACTGGGGGTCAGGAACGAGTTCCTATAGGAATAGCTTTTCAGTCTGAAAGTTGAGTATTTGTTATCCAGGGGCATTCTAAGTCACAGGGCAAGTTGGAAGAAGTCAAGAGAACAAAAATACTGAAAATGGCTTCTGAGTTCAGTATAAAGATGTTAGGTTGGGAAGGGCTATTCTTTTTTTTATTTATTATTACACGTTTTCTCCCTCCCCTCCCCCTTCCCCAGCCAACCTTGCAATGTGCCCCTTGTTCCAGATTGTTCTCATATATATAATGCATAATCATATATTTCCTTTGAACAGTTATTCCCCTCATCTGTTATAATGTAATGCCCTTTATCTAGCCATCCTTTCCCCAAACCCTCCCCAGTGCCCCCATGTCTGTCCTATTTTATAAGTCGTTTTATGCAGTATTTACCCTTTTGTGGCTGAGATATTTCACTCAGTATAATATCTTTCAGTCTCCCCTTTGTTGTGTAGTGTTTTACACGTCCATTGGTTTTCAGTGCTGTGTAATATTCCTTTGCATGAATGTACCATAGTTTTCTATTTGTTTGTTAATTGGCACTTGGGGTGCTTCTTTGCTGTTGTGAGTAATGCAGCAATAAACATGGATATGCAAGGGCCATTTTTTGTAAAGTATGGAGTAAGACAAAAATGAATATATAAACATAACTCTTTAAAATATTTTGGCTATAGGGTCTTTTTGTTACTGTTGTATATTCTCCTTTTTATTAACTAGTGAATCTCAGAGGTGGAACTGTTAAGCAAATCTCCTAATACTTTTCCCCAGGATGGTCCTGGGACAGAGGGCTGTGTGGGGAGTCAGGCTGGACTTGAGATTATCTCCAGAAAGTCAGTCTCATCCTCCAAGAAGTTTGTAAGGAAAAACTCCAGTAAGGAAAAATGACTTTTTCTTCATAATCCTCATTCCACTACAATTATTATTGAAACACATACTCCTATAGACACTTTAAATTGGCCCATTAATGGGGGAAAGGAAGCTAACAAACTCTGGTTCTCTTGCCACATTCTTTTGCAGGACTGTCCCCTTTATTCCTTCTTTGTTGTTTGTTTACTTTTTTATTTTTTGTTTTGTTTTTGGTTTTTTTGCATTAATTCTTATCTGGCTTATACTTGTTATTTTTCCCCCCCTCTCATTTTTTTCTTCTGAAGCTGAGTGTTTTGGGTTTTGTTTATTATTGTTTTTTTAATAATAGAATACTTTATAACTTTCTATAATAAAACACATGTAGATAAAGCCTTATATATTTAATACAGTGCATTACTCCTCTCAATATGATCACCAGTCACTTCTGTAATACCTTGTACTACACACTGCTCCTGGTTTCTCATGCTGTTGTCCATCTCTTGCTTAGGAGAATGTAAGTCCAAATCCCATGTACCAACTTCAGAGAAAGATTTTTGCTTGAGGCTGTACTATAATTCCCAGACAGATCTCTTCTAGATCTGATTCTGTGGTGATGTTTGTTTGGCTCAAGGGCCTTTGGACCTTGGGCCAAAGTAGATTTGAGACTGAAGATATTTCTCCTTTAACAAAAGATAAGATTAAATATAAGATAAAAGAAAGATAAGAGTAATACCCTTCTGTTGTTACCTTATAAAGGAGATTAGAGAGAGTGCTCTCAGATCCTGTCTTGTGTGACTCCTTGGGTTCTGGACGCTGTGTGAGTGGAGATGCCACTTGGTTTGAAAGCCAGACCCCAAAGTAGATTTGAGACTACTACTGTACAAATGGAAAAAAATTAAGTTTAACATTTCTAGACCAGTATGACTGTTAATTTCTGTATAATGCCAACTCAACACAGTACAACTGGGAGACTTTTCCAAAGTTGATAGCACAGCTGAAGTTTCCAGAAATTCAAATTGTGTGTGTGTGTGTGTGTGTGTGTGTGTCTGTAAAAGGACCAGTTATAGTGTGATATGCATTATTATGTTTTGGGGTTTTTTTACTCTTTAGGGGCAATTGTTTCTAATAAATCTTTGGTTGTTTTTGTAAAGGTGTTCAGTTATTTTAAATTTCCTCTTCCATAGCCTTCTGTCTGAATTTCTGTTTTCCTTCTGAACTGCTCAATCCTCTCTGTTTCCCTGAAGAAAAAGCTAGCAAACAAGATTGGCTGCAGAGCATTTAGAATCTGGACCATGGGGCACAGAAGGGGTATGAGGAGGAGTGGAGAACAGGCAGGAGATAGAAACTCAGCAGATCAAATGGCTACAGGGTCTTTAAAAACTTTCAAGTGGCCAACTGAGGTACAAGAGCTGGTGTTATTTACATAGAGCAATAGAGGAAGAAGGCAAGTCAGGAATTGTTTTGTGCCATCAAATTGGAATTGACTCAAAGCTGGCCCTCCACTGGATGTTCAAATACAGGGATTCATAAATCACATGGGAGGAGATTGCCCATTTTTTCTCCTGTGGAGCAGCTGGTAGATTCAAACAGCATGCTTTCCTTTGGGTTGGTAGTGCAGTTCCTTCCCACTAGGTCACCAGAGCTCCCAAACCAGGAGTGGGAGGAGGAAATGGAATGTGTACCTAATTGCCTCCATAAACATCTGCCATGAAACCTGACGAACTGGTGATACCTAGCTATCATTCGTTATAAGACTGTGTTAAATAAGCCTGATTAAAAAGGGGAAAGTATGGAAGATAATTTCAAATTCTTATGGAATCCAGCATTTCTGAATTCACTGAGGCTAGAAGAACCTTCAGAACTTCTGCCTGAGAGAATCTTTAAACTATCAACCAAAAATAATCTTTCTAAGACTTCTTCAAATCAAGCAATAGTTTAGGTTCATTATTAAAAAATGTCTGCCTTCAACATTGAACTTTTTTGCAGGACCATCTATTTAAGATCAAATTAAAAATAACAATTCAGAAGACTATATAGGAAACTTGGGGACAGGGAGTTTGTTAATGGTGGAGGAACAGTTTGGAAAAGGATGGTGAGAATAATTGTCTAACTTGAAGAATGTCAATGAATTAACTGTTGTAGTTTTTATGTGCCGTCGAGTCACCTGAGACTCATAACAACCCTATGTACAGCAGCCCTAAGCCCTGCTCTGTCTTTTGCCAATCTTACTATCTCTGACACACCTACCCCCATTTCCCCAGTCACTGAATTAATCCATCTCATTGAGGGTCGTCCTCTCTTGTGCTGTCCCTCCACCCTCCCAAGCATGATGTCCCTCTCCAAGGACAGGTCTCACCTTACAACATGTCCCAAGTATGTCAGACGAAGCTTCAGAATCCTTGCCTCCAAGGAGCAGCCTGGTCTCACCCTCTCTAGGACAAATCAGTTTGTCTCCTAGTAATCCATGGTATATTCAGTACTCTTCTCCAGAATTAATTGTACATGTAGAAATTGTTGAATTTGTGTGTGTTCTCAACAACAACCAAAAATTGTTTTCTGAGAACTAATACCAGCGGCTCAGATAAAGGCAAAGTAAGATAGTTAAAGGAACTTGAATGTAAAAAGAGAGATTTTTATGAAGGGAGTGACTTGAGAATATTTAAATACCATTTGGGTAGAGAAGAAGTTGAAATTATAAAAGAAGGGATTACAGTAGAGGGAAGTTCCTGGGGAGGATGGAAGGAAGAATCAAAAGACTTCCACAGAAAGGACCACATTTGCATTTGTGTTTTTATCAGGGGTAGGAGATTTTGAAGGCATTTCTCCTTCTCATAATATCACATAATCCAAATTCTTCATGATGTAGAAGGCAGGATTATTTCCCGAGTTTAGTGTAAGGGAAGGGAGAGTTGTCAGTGAGGAAATCAAAGATAGAAAAAGAAGAAAGAAAATTCAGAAATGATTGAAGAGAACTGAGAAGGGCAGCGAAAGGATTGTCGGCAGCAATGAGGTCAAGTTGAGGTTGGACATGGTGGCTTCCACAGGGGCATCAGTCTCTGGTTTTGTGTCTGTGTGCAGTGTGAGCAGGAGTGTTGCCGGGCCAAGGAAGTGGAAAACGAGGGTGACCTCAGGTTGGAGTTTTGCCCTGTGGGTGTAGTAGAAGAACAAGGAACAGGGAAAGTTGAGTACAGCTGAATAGGGAAAGAAACGCAAGTAGGAGCTGCCTGTGGGTGGGAAGAAGTGAGAGGTGTTAGGAACTTACAGTGAAAGAGCCAGTAATAGAATTGTCAAACTGGAAGGCTAAAAAGGTGGGGACTAGAGCATGTTTGATGGAGAGTTTTAGAGGAATAGCCATTCTGGGTGATGACAAAGTGGAGATTATAGCCGTGGGGTGGTTAGGGTTGAAGGTCACAGATGAGGCTCTGGAAGATGAAATGTCTGTATGGATGGGTCATTTATGTGAATGTTGATGTCCTTGAAAGTGACAGAGGGTTCAGCTGGAGAAAGACCACTGTGAGTCACCTCAAGCATCCCCAGTGAGTGAAACACAGGGCACTCTGAGATGGCTGGGGGGCATGACTCAAACTGCCTGGGGCCTGGGTACTGTGAGTGCTGGGAGGCAGGCATAATGGAGGATTCTGGTTCTCCTGCAGATTGATGTGCACCTCCAGGATGCGCTGGGTCGGCCCCATCAGTGTGGGACAATCCAGCTCGACTTCCAACTACCCTTGAGATTTGGCCTTCAGTACAAGGGGTAAAGAACCTTCCTCACCTCACTTCTTCATTTGTGCCTAAAACCTAAAACACAGCCTCTGCACCTTACCAGCCCAGCCCAGAACATTTCTTGAAAACTGAAAGATGATCTTAAGTGTGTAATTTGTAGCATCTTCTCCATTCCACATTTTTTCTTATAAGGCACAAGGGGGCCCTCGAGCGGCCAGTCCTCATTCATCGAGCAGTCCTAGGCTCTGTGGAAAGAATGCTGGGAGTCCTGGTAGAAAGCTGTGGGGGAAAATGGTGAGATCTGTGACCGACTTCTGCCCTCCAGCCTGATGGTTCCTCCTCTTTGAGCCCTTGCTCTGTATCTTCCTCAGATCTGTTCCTTTCCTCTCATCCTTACGGTGCATTCCCACGCTTCTGACCAGCGCTTTGTTCTCTCCCAACCAGGCCACTGTGGCTTTCCCCATTCCAGGTCGTGGTCATCCCTGTGGGGCCTGAACAGGAGGAATATGCTAGAGAGGTGAGGAGGTGCCGTGGCAGCCATGGGATGAGGAGGGAGGAAGGGCCCAGCAGTGAGTAGGACAAGGCCACATGGGGGAGGAAATGCTCGGCCTGGGAGCCACAGACGGCGCTGGCCTGGTGGTCCTCCTGTTTGCTGCCAGTGCCTAGATCTTACACATGCAGCTCATTCCTCCTTGTGCTGATGGGGAAAAAGAAAACAAAGCAAGGTTACTGGCAAGAATACTTAGCACAGACATGGTTTGGGCAAATGTTGGGTTTTGTTTTTTTTTTTTCCCCCCTCAAGAAAGACTTGATCACTTCTCAGCCATTTGGCTAAGATCAAGTAAAGAAAGAACTGAGTTTAGATAATACCAGAGTTGAGAGATTCACTGGGTAGTTGTTGTTCTGTGCTGTCAAGTCAGAACCAACTCATAGCTGGTCCTCTAGCAGGTTTTCAGAGCTTATAAATTGTCCAGGAGGAAATTGCCCATCTGTTTTCCACTGAGCAGCTAGTGGATTCCAACTGCCTACCTTGGAGTTGGCAGCACAACTCCTTATCCACTAGGCCTCCAGAGCTGTCTCGGTAGAGCAGTGACAAAAAAGTGGGCAAATTTCAGGGAACTGCTGGTGGGTAGGGCTGGGATACTGCCCGTAACCAGTAGGAGGCAGATGAAAAAGACTTGCAAGTGTTTGCTGTGAGGTGGAGGTCTCAAAGCTGAAATGAAATGAGAGGTTATCAGTGAGGACCAGAGAACACTGAGGCCAGGGCGGGAGGAATGGCTGTGGAGGCCTGGGGAACATCGGCATCAGGCTGACCTAGCTCTTCACTCTTCTGTTAACTTCTTTTGCTGACCAAACCTCAGGTGCAGCAGTGCCTGCAGGCCACAGGGCTGTCTGGCGATCTGGACGCTGACTCTGGACTGACTCTTAGCCGGAGAGTCCGCCGGGCGCAGCTTGCTCACTACAATTTTCAATTTGGTAAGTGAGTGGAACAGCTAAAGTCCAGGACCTCAAAACCCTAAGCTCTCCCGCCCTCTGCATTCTTCTTTCATGTCTATTAAGTTTTGTTAACTGCATATTTGGGATAATTGGAGCTCATTACCTGATAGAAGCAGCCAGGATTCAGGATACCTGACTCATTTGGGCCCCAAGTTCCTTCACTCTCTGACAGCCACTTCTGACCCCGGGACAGTTTTCCTCTTACCCCTCCCCTAGCTCTTGATGTCTGTTAATTAGCCAGCATGATGAAAGGAACTGGAAAGGTAATAAGGTGTTCATTAATTAATTAGCTTTGTTTATCCTAGACCTAGAGGAGAGAGACCTTAGGAGAAAAGGCTGGTCCTACCTTTTCTTAAGGTTTTTCAGACTTTTTCAGAGCTCAGAGCTCTGTCTTGGAGGCAAGGAACGGAAACTCCACAGCCCTCTTGCCTAGCTGTATGTGTTCCATATAGCTTGCCATTACTTAAGTATTAGGCAGACTGCCCCCAGTCCCATCATTTCATGGACTTGCACGTGCATTCCAGCCCTGCCGTCTTCCCCTTTCTCTCATTCTCCTCAATTCTTCCCCCACCACAGTTCTTGATGGGTTCATCAGTATCTTGCTGACTCTAAGACTCACAGTGGGGCTCCTGACTGGGAGTGATAAGGCCATAGGGGAATGAAGGGCTGTAGGCCATGCACTTATCACCACAGGCTGAGCAGAAAACTGGAGAACGAGCGACAGCTAAATATATTCTCTCATTGAGCCGTATATAGACTCTGTTCTCACCCCCCCCCCTAAAAATTTAACTCATCACATCTGGTGACCTGATAGGGAAGGGGTTGCACTGGGCCAATCCAAAGGGAAGCTGTTTCAATCCACCAACTGCTCCTTAGGAGACAAATGTGTTGTCCCCTCCCATTTGATTAATGCTTCTAAAGCCTGGATAGAGGATCAGCTTTGAATCAGTTCCTCCTTGACAGCAATGAGTTTGAGCTTGTGTGTGTGGCTGTCGAGTTGGAACTGACCCTCCAACTGGTTTCCATGACTTTAAATCACTTGGGAGAAGACTGCCCATCACTCTCCCATGGAGTGCCTGGTAGATTCAAGCTGCCAGAGAGGCTCTGCCTTTGGGCTAGCAGTGCAGCTCCCTGTGGGCTGCACCTTTGGGCTCCCCTCCGAAGGATTTCGGTCTCTTGAATTTCTGCACAGTAAAAAGAAGTATTTAATATGGTAAATTTGCCATGGAATTTTCAGACCTCTCCTCCTTTTCCTGCAGTTGTTGGCCAGAAAGAACAAAGTAAAAGAACAGTGAACATTCGGACTCGAGATAATCGTCGACTTGGGGAGCGCAGCTTAACTGAGGCTGTAGGGCGGCTGCTGGAGTTACAGAACACCAGGGTCCCAAATGCTGAAGAAATGTTCTGAGCTTCTGTACATACCTGAAATCTCTTGGAGTTAACAGCCTTCCTCAACTGGCCAGGGTGGGGATAAGGTGGCAGCTACCCTGACCAGCAGAGTTTGGACTCAACAGGAATCCTCAGAGCATTCCCTCCCCTCAGTTTTTTTGAACTGAGTCTTGGTTTGGTGAACCTAGAGGTTTGGAAGCTATAGTGAGTTAAAATAAAAATAATAAATTTTAAAAACTGCCAGGTATGTGTCTCCATTTTTTTTTTACTCCTGAGAGGAAGGATTTTTCTTTCTTTTTAATTATTATTAATTTTAATGAAAGTTTACAGAGATTTTGGATTTCCATTCATTTATTGTTGCACTTTTCTCCCTGCCCACCCCTCCCCCCCCAGTTCACTCTTCTCTTTGAAAATAAAAGAAATATTCTTTCATTGCTATATAATCCATCCCCCCAAGTCCACTTCACTGTGCAGCCTTCATTCTGGACTCATGTCATGACAATAATATATCCCTTTTAAACAGTTCTCTCCCTCATCTGTTTCAATGCAGTGTACATTATTTATCCTCTCTTTTTTTAAATTCTCATCAGTCCCATTTTACAACAGTGGCACTATGCAGTATTTGTCCTTTTGTGACTGAGATATTTTACTCAACATAATGTCCTCCAGAGCCACACATTTTGAATAATATTGCATGAGTTCCTTGTTTTTAATGCAGCATAGTATTCCATTCTGTGAATATACCACAGCTTCTCTATCCATTCATTTGTTGATGGGTAGATGAAGGATTTCTAAATGGTCTCTGGTGGCCTTTCCAAGCTTATACTTAGCAGTATGGAGTTATGGTGCAAACCCCGAGGTGGTGGTAGTGGTGGTGGTTATGTACCGTCAAGTTGCTTGCGACTCATAGCGACCCTGTGTACAACAGCCCTAAAGCCTACGCTATCTCTTGCTAACCTTATTGTCTCTGACACACCTACCCCCATTACCCCAGTAACAGAATCAATCCATTTCATCGAGGGTTCTTCCCCTACTGCACTGTCCCTCCACCCTCCCAAGCATGATGTACCTCTCTAAGGACTGATCCTGCCTTGCAACATGTCAAAAGTATGTCAGACAGAGCTTCAGAACTTTTGCCTCCAAGGAACAGCCTGGCTTCACCCTCTCCAGGATAAACTTATTTGTTCTAGCAGTCTATGGTATATTCAAGACTCTTCTCCAGCACCACAGCTCAAAGGCATCAACTCTCTTATCATCTCTAGTCATTGTCCAGCTGTCTTAATGCAAGTAATGGCAAAGACCATGGCCTGTATCAGCCACACCTTAGTCTCCAGACTGACATCATTACTCCTCAGTACCTTGAAGAGGTCTTGGACAGAAGACTTTCCCAGTGCAATTTGTCTTTTGATTTCCTGGCTACTGGTACCAAGAAAGTTGATTGTAGAGCCAAGCAAACTGAAGCTGTCAACAATCTCAATCTCTTCACCATCTATCATGATGCTGCCAGTGGTGAGAATCTTTGTTTTCTTGATGTTGAGCTTCAATTCATATTGAAGGCTGCAATCCTTGACCTTCTGCAGCTAGCACTTCAGGTCCTCCTCAGTTTCAGCAGGCAGGGTTGTGTCATCTATATGCGGAACAGATTATCCAGGAGGCTGGGCTCTATGAGAAGAAGTGTGGAACCCACAGGTATGCAGTTCAAATCCACCAGCTGCTGTGTGGGAGAAAGATGGGCAACCTCCTCCCATGTGATTTACAGCCTCTGAAAACACACTGGAGGCTCAGCTATGACGGCACACCCAAGAGGAAGGATAAAGGAACTTAGACTCTGTCTCCCTCTTTTTTGTCCCAGAGCTTTGGGAACATTGAACAGGGACAGTCCAGTCAAGAAGCTCACTGCAATAGCTGTTGTCTTCTCCACTGTGAACTCCTTGTTATAAGCTGTTGAGTCAGAACCAACTCATAGTTAATCCTCAAGTGGGTTTTCAGAGGCTGTCAGTCACACAAGTAGAGATTATCCAACTTTCTACCTCAAAAGAACTGTTGGATTAGAACTACTTGCCCTCAGCTTGGCAGCTCAACTCCTTGCCCCACGAGGCCACCAGAACTCCCTGTAAACTCCTTAGTGCCCTGTTTTCCTCAACCCAATTCAATAGGTTATCACATCCTTTCTGCAGGCAAGTCAGCATATGGGAGAAACCGAAGCACAACGTAAGGTTCCAGACATCACTTGTATCATCATTTTCAGAATCAGATTCTCCTGGGGTCTCAAGAGCCTTTCCTCCCATCATCCCCGTTCCTCTCAATCCTCTGAAGAGGCCTCAGGTTAACTTTAAGGGAAAATGCCAGACATTGCTCCTATCATCCTTTTCAGAATCAGATTCTCCTGGGGTCTCAAGAGCCTTTCCTCCCATCATCCCCATTTTTCTCAATCCTCTGAAGAGGCCTCAGGGTGACTTTAGGAGGAGCCGCTGCCAGAGGAGGAGCTGCTTGGACTGAGTCACAGCAGGAAGCCAGGGAGGGCGGGGATACTGCCAGACCTATAAGAAGGAGGGACTGGCCCCGAGTTCACAGCATCAGTAACAGCAACCGGAGAAGCCGGCTCCTAGCAGCCCAGCCCTTCCAATCCAGATCTGCCTGAGAGGACCCACCTCCTGAGTGGCCAGTGACCAGCTGGCAAGGATGGGGACCATGTCCAGAACAACCCTGGTTCTGGCCTGTTTGGCTGTCATTTCTGCAGCCTCAGAGGAAGGTGAGTTGGGGTTGGAATGAGCACTTGGAAAAAGGCCTTGGCTGCCATGGGCCTCAGACCTGGGTCTGAGCACTCTCAGCTCATCACCAGCACCATGATGCTCCAATCAACCTTGACTGAGCTGACCGAGGGTGGGTCCGAGGCACTGAGCCTTTAACCAGGGAGGGAGGAGCAGGGCAGCAGAAGAGGAGTTTCTGAAGATTGTTGCCCAAACCCACAAAATTTGGAATCAAATGGCAACACTGAGTGGGTGGGCAAAATCTCAGAACAAAGGGCCTCTGGAAATGTTTCTGGGGAAACCCCTATGCAGGATAGGGAGAAAGAAGGGGCCCACAAGCTACTCAAACCCACTTGACTGACCCAGGGAGCCTTGATTGACTTGTTGCTGATACAGGAAGAAGTTTGGGAGCTGTCCATCCAAAAGGGCCAGGTAAACCACCAGAAACAGACACCCACTTCCATTCACACATTCTTTATGTACTTTGGTGCCTCAGCTTAACGTAGAACACCTAAAGGGAGCATGAGAGACTGGCTAGCTGTGCTCTGGAAGGCCCTGTCTCCCTCTTTCTCATCTCTTGCGCCAGCAGATCAGCTGTAAATGATTCAGCCCATTCGTGGCTATGATTTGCCTCAGGTGTCATGAATACTCTCAGTCCCTCAGGTCCTAAGCCACCTTGAGCTGGGATGAGCTGGGAGAGCTGAAGAGAAGGCACTTTAACTTCCAGGCTGGGCTCCTGATTAGAAAACCAGGGGTTGGATGGATAGAGGCATTGGACAAGTGAGGGTCCAAACAGACGGTTTCCTCTGAAAACTACTGAAGCATCATAAGAGAGAGACTGTGGGGAGTAGAATCCAGCGCCCTGAGGGAACAATACCCACAGGAGATTAGGGCCTCCATGTGACACATCCAGGGTTCAGTAGACCAAAGACTTGGGCCAGGTGCACAACAGAAACTAACAGAATAACACAAGCTTTCTCAGAACTGGGTCACATCTACATGTGTTTGAGGGCTGGATGAAGTGACACAGGGGAAAAAAACAATACAGACCAGTTCTAGTGTCTTGGTCATCTTTCCCTCCACTGACCTCCACTGTCTCTCCTGGTCCCTTGCTCAAGTCCAGAAAGGAGCCCTTCAAAACCATCCTTGACTCTCTTCTTCTCCCCAGGCCCCAAGGCTTCAGGACAGAAAGTACTGCATCCACAGCACTTCGTCCAGAACCCTGAAGAAGGTAAAGAGTTTGGGAGATCAACAAGGACTCGAAGCCCAGGAGGAACTAGTCTTTGACGTCTCCCCTCTTGCCTCTAGTTGGCTACGCGGCACCTCCCTCCCCACCCCTGACCCAGAACCTCCCCAGGGACCACCCTGACTCAACTCAGCATGGCTTTCACTTTGAGGGACAGAGAGAAGGTAAGTCCCTACCACACACCTCTCTGGTACCCCTCCAAAGTCTATTCTTTAGATGGTGAAAACGCCCCCTCTCTCTCCTGCCCTGCATAGGGAAAGGAGGTCCACTACTCCCATTCTCCCCCTCTGCAGTGCAGGCCCTTCCCTCCCTCCCAGGAAGCCCAAGAGGAAGTTCTGTCCCCTCCCCAGCTCCCCATCAACAGTGAGAGTGAGTGCTTCCTGCGCTGGGCTCTCACCCTTCAGTGGGCTTTCTAACACCTCACTGATCCCTGCTTCTTTATGTCCTCCCTCCAACCAGTAGATCACCCTCACCCTCTTCAATCCGAGCTGCCACCTCCCCAACTCCAGATTGAACAAAGAGAGGGTAAGTGACTTCCTTGCCCCTCACTTGCCCTGTGGCCTTGGAAGCCTGAAATTTGGAGGCAGAGAAGGTAGAGGCCCTGCCACTTACTAGCCACGCAGCCTTGAGTAATTCACTTCCCTAAGCTTTTAGTTTCTTCCTCTTTAAAACTGAGAAACTAATAATCTATTTTATAAATGTATGTAACGTTTTTTAAAATAGCATTTTTCTTTTTACTTGCTCCCTCATGCATTTTACTCATGACTGGGAAACTAGCTAGGTCCCCTTCTTTTAGAGATGGCCATCCCACCATGGGATGGGGGTGTCCTAGCGCCTGTGCTGACCCATCTACTTCTACCCTAGTAGACTCACCTTTCCCATATCAGAAGGCGATGACTTTCCGATTTACTACGCAGAGAGAGGGTGAGTGACAGCCTCGGTCTGTCCGTCTGTCCATTGCTCAGCTTCAGAACTCAGAACCCAGGGAGGGGTCGGAAGCCTGCAGGGGAGGCAGCGCAGTGAGTGAGCAGGGCCTGATTCAGAGCAAAGGCCTGTGGCTGGGTCTCCTCTCATGTTCCCATTCTCTTTCTCTTTTAGCCAGTCAGGCTGAAGGTAAGAGCCACACGTGAATTCTCTCCCTTCCATCCTCCCACCCCTTTCCCCTGAACCCCAGCGCCTTTGCATCCCTCCCCACATGTCCCAGTAGCTGTCTATTCCTCCACATGTCCCCCCTTCCTACTGTGTTTCCCTATTCCAGAAAAGCCAGTTTCCTTCTCCAGACAGAATCTAGAGCCTGAGTCTTCGAAACCAGCCGCACACTGCCAGCGAGGTCGACCCCGAGGAGGCTGGGCCCACCGGCTGGATGGCTTCCCCCCTGGGCGACCTTCTCAAGACAACCTGGACCAGATCTGCCTCCCTGACCGGCAGCACGTGGTGTACGGCCCCTGGAACCTGCCCCAGAGTGGCTTCTCCCACCTTACCCGCCAGGGGGATGCCCTTAATTTGCTGGAGACTGGATATTACCGCTGCTGCCGCTGCCGCAACCACTCAAACCGCCTAGACTGTACAAAGCTTGTGGTAAGGGTTCTAATCCCAGGGAAGGGGGGCGGGGTGTTCCTTTGACTCCCAGCATGTGCGTATCTTCAGGGATAGAGGCCAAGGCCTGGGTGTGGAAGAGACTCAGGTCTCTTTGGTTAGCCCTGCTTCTGGCCTCCATAGCCGGCCAGGAGAGATGAAGAGAGCCTGGCTTTCTTTGTCTTGTCTGCCTGCCCAGGATCCTTTTCTGGAGCCTGGTCAGGGGGGCAGGAATGTGGACGAGAGCTTCCTCGGCTGATCCTCCCCTTCTGCTCTAGTGGGAGGATGCAATGACCCAGTTCTGTGAGGCTGAGATCTCGGTCAAGACCCGAGTCCACTACTGCTGCAAACAGCAGGGAGAGGCTCGGTTCTCCTGCTTCCAAAAGGAAGCCCCCCAGCCACACTACCAGCTCCGGGCCTGCCCTAGCCAACAGCCTGGTGTAACTTCGGGGCCCAAGCTGCCATTCCCCCCGGGGGTCCCCACACTGGACAATGTCAAGAACATCTGCCGTCTGCGACGCTTCCGCTCTGTGCCACACAACCTGCTGGCCACCGACCCCATCGAAAGGCAGCTGCAGGCGCTCACCCAGCTGGAGGGGGAGTTCAAGCGCTGCTGCCTTCAGGGGGACAACCACACCTGTGCTCAGAAGGCTGTAAGTGGCGTCCCAGCACCCTGAGTGCCTGTCTGCCTGCCTGCCCGTCTCCAGCCTCTGAGCCTGCTGATCCGTCCATCCGTATACCTTTCCCGCTGTGAGCACCTCCACCTGCCCATCTGTGTGTGACTGTTAGCCGTCCACTGTGTTCGTCTCGAGCCTGCATCCTACACTCCTGACCTCGTCCACCCGTGGCACCACCCGTGCGCCTGCCTGCATCCATCCACCCAGCTCTGGCCTCCCCTGACCCTCTCTGCCTACCGTTTCAGTTCACCTCCTCCCGTGGCCAAATCCAAACCTCATCTCTGCTTCGACCCTTCCACCTTCCCAGGCCCAAATGTCCACAGCTGCCTCCTTCCCCCTGGTTCTTTATCTTCCCCATGTGGAACCTGAGGCTGGGAGCCCTTTATCTCAGTCTGAGGCAATAAGGGAAGCAGAGGACCAGGCAAGAAGCCAAATGTCCGTGTTCTGACTTCCACCTCTCTGTCAACAGTGGGAGGACACCCTCGATACATACTGTACCAAGGAGCAGGGTGTGAAGACCCACCACCACTTGTGTTGCCACCACCCACCGAGCCCTGCCCGTGATGAGTGCTTTGCTCATCAAGCTCCGTACCCCAACTATGACCGGGACATCTTGACCATTGACCTCAGCCGGGTCACACCCAACCTCATGGACCATCTCTGTGGAAACCAAAAAGTTCTCAGCAAGCAGTAAGTCTTGTCTAGCTCATCCCAACCTTTCTTCCCTTCCCAAAAACCTTCCTCTGGGACTCCCCTGGGAAGGCCACAGTCATGGCCTCCTAGCACCACTTTGATGCTTGGGGATACCTGCCCCCTGCCTCTTTCCCCTAACACAGTAAACAGATTCCTGGGCTGATTCGCAACATGACCGCACGATGCTGTGACCTGCCTTTTCCAGAGCAAGCCTGCTGTGCCGAGGAGGAAGTGAGTGTGTGGGGAGGGCACACCACAGATTCCCAAAAAGTAGAGGAGGGAGTGTTGAATGGCAGATGGGGAGGGCACACCACAGATTCCCAAAAAGTAGAGGAGGGAGTGTTGAATGGCAGAACACTCTCCCCAGTAATGCCTGAAACCAGAGCACAGAAATCATGAACACCAGTAAGAGCCATCATCCTGGATTCCAGAAGTCCTATTAATTTCTGACCTAAAGTGCTCCCCACCCCTGAATTCCCATTATGCCTTCTCTGAGTTGCAAGCTTCTGGCATTTCCAATATGTGTTTCTATCAGTTGCGAAGAATTCAGTTGAGCAAGGGGGCAGCTTTGCACCATTTCTAGACTCCAGAAGGTCCACGGAGAGAGGAGAAGCCAAGAGAGGGGACTTTGGAAACCCATGTATTGATATCTGACCTCTGCTTTACTCTATTCCTTCTGCCTAGAAATCAACTTTCATTGATGGCCTGTGTGGTCCCCGACGGAACTCCTGGCGCGACCCTGCCCTCTGCTGTGCCCTGAGCCCAGGGGATGAACAGATCAACTGCTTCAATATCCATTATCTGAGGAATGTGGCTGTAGTGGTTGGAGACACTGGGGATGCCAACGACCAGGGGGAGCAGGACCCGACTCAGGAAACAAATGTCAGCCCCACCCCAGAGCCTGAAGAGAATGAGTCACCCTAGAGCCTTGAAGGATCAGATGGGGGAACCCCACCCCACCCCACCCTCCCCCAACACTCATAGTAGTAAACACCTCTTGGATTTAGTGTCTTTGTCTGTGACACAAGCACACCCTTTTAAGCCCTCCTGGTTTCTTCAGTGACTGACCCCTGAGGCCACCTGCCCTGCTCCCCATTGACTGAATGGATGTTCCACAGGCTTGTGATAGAATCTTAACTAAAGGATTTAATATCACTATTTGTCAGATTGAATTTATTCAGATATTTTTAAAAGATCACTGTGTTAGCTATGAAGAATCAGAGGTGGAAAAGTTACGGTTCATGTCCTTGGTAAGCCCACAAAAATGCCTCAGCCCAGCCTGACGTTTTGATTCATATTTACTTTTGAGCCTTTAAGTCCACACCCCGATTCATTCATTATCCATTTATTAAGTCCCTATCCGTGCGCTGTGCTAGACCCTGGGGATATACACAGGAAAAAAAAAACACAACATGATTCCTGCACTGAAATGAATTGTTCACGAGCCATGAACCAAGTTGGTGTGCTGGGTTGTCAAGTGTGGGGCAGCCAGCATGCTGGCTGGAGGCAGGCATCAGGGTGGGAGCAGTGTGTGTGCACTGCAGAGGGCTCTCTGGACATGAGGTCACAACTGTCCACAACAGGTAGAGGTGCCAAAGACAGGAACATCCAGGCATAAGGGGCAGCTCATCCAGGAAGTCTAGGCAGAAAGGTTCAGACTGAAATCTCTCTGGGATATGGCTGGAAACATAAACAAGAACTCATCACAAATGCTTTGTTCACAGGCTTTAAAGTGGATCTTGGCTCCTGTGCCTGAGCGGGCACTGAGGCTTTAAGGAAAGCATGTGCTTAGATTTGTTTGTTAGAAAAGTCTACTCAGTGCCAGGAACCTGGAAGGTCAGTTCAGAGAGCAGTGGCATTGCCAGAGGGGGAGGGCTGTGGACCAAAAAGGGGGTGAGAATGGCCCTAGAAAGTTGCCCTCAGGAGACCGGATGCTTAAGGCTAGAGCTGAGAATTGGAGTGAAAATTCAGTCCCTGTGGAGCAGGTCTGCTGAGACTAGGGCTTTCTGGCCTAGTCACAGCATATGCCTTCTGCCTCTGCCAGAAACAAGTTGAGCTCTGTTATTGTTGTTATGTGCACTCAAATTGACTGTGACTTATAGCAAGCATTGTTGGTAACTGTCTTCGAGTAGAGCACAATTCATAGTGACCCCGTGAAGCAGAGCTCTGAACTCTGTCCTATGCTGCGTCATCTTTATCATCCTTGAGACATTTGAGTTCATTGCCAGACACTCCATCAGTCCATCTCATTGAGAGTCTTCCTCTCCTTTGGTGACTATCCACCTATCTAAGCATGATGTCCCTTTCCAAGTAATAGCCTTTCCTAACAACATGTCCAAAATATGTGAGATGAAGCCTCACCATCTTTGCCTCCAAGGCTGCATTTTCTCCGAAATGTATCTGTCTGTTCTTTTGGCAGTCCATGGGATACTCAGTGATCTTTTCTTACACCACAACTCAAATGGATCCATTCTTTTCTTGTCATCCTTTTTCACTGTCCTGCTCCCAGATGCATAGCAGATGATTGGAAAGGCTGGCTTGAAGCAGGCACGCCTTGATCTTTAAACTGTCATAATTACTCTTTAGAACTTTGAAGAGATCCCTGACAGAAGACTTTCCCAATATTATGTATCCTAGTATCCTGCCTGCTAGTGCCAAAGCTATTCACTGTGGATCCAAGCAAAATGAAGTGATTGATAATTTCAATTTTTTCTCCATAAATCATGATATTGCCTATTGGTCTAGTGGGGAGGAGTTTTGCTTTGTTTTCTTGATGTTGAAATGTAATCCATACTAAAGGCTGTATTCCTTGATCATCTGCAACAAGTGCTTCAGATCCTCCTCACTTTCAGCAAGCAAGGTTGTATCATCTAACTAAGGTTGTTGATGATCTCCCTCCAATCCTGATGCCACATTGTTTCTCATAAAACCCAGCTTCCTGAATGATTTTGCTCAGCATACAGACTGAAAAGGTATAGAGAGAGGATACAGCCCTGGCACACACCCTTCCTGATGTAAAACCATGAAGTGATCTCTTGTTTGGACAAGTTCTTGGTCGAGGTATAGATTTTGAATAAATATGATTAAATATTCTGGAATTCTCATTCTTTTCTTTTTAATTCTAATTCTTTTCAAATTTAGCCATAATTTGTTATGATCCACACAGTCAAATGCCTTTGCATAGTCAAAACACAAATAGATATTCTTCTGGTATTCTCTGCTTTCAGTCAAGATCCATCTGACATCAGCAATAATAAGGGTGCCGGCCTCTTCTAAACCGCACTTAAACTTCTGGCAGCCCTCTGTGAATGTACTATTCTGCTTTTTATGATTGTCAACAATATTTTGTTTGCATCCGATATTAACAATATTGATCTACGTTCTGTTAGATCACCTTTCTTGGGAATGGGAACAGATATGGGTCTTTTCTAGTCAGTTGGCCAGGTATATCTGTTCTTTGACTTTTCTGGTACAGACTGGTGAGCACGTCCAGAGCTGCATCTGTTATTTGAAACATTTAATTGATTCCTGAAGCTTTTGCCAATGCCTTCAACGAAGCTTGAAATTCGTCTTTCATCACCTCTTTATCATATGCTGCTTCCTTAAATATTTCAGTGATGACTGATAATGAGCCTTGTTGTTATGTGCCATCGAGTTGTCTGTGACCCATAGCGACCCTAGGTACAGCAGCCCTGAGCCCTGCCCTGTCCTGAGCCAGTCTCACTGACTTAGACACATCAACTCCCATTGCCTCAGTTACTGCATCAATCCATCTCGTCTAGGATCTTCCTCTCTCATGCTGTCTGTCCACTTTTCCAAGCATTATATCCTTCTCCAAGGACCAATCTCTCCTAGCCACAAGCCCAAAGTATGTGAGATGGAGTTCAAAATCTTTGCCTCCAAGGAAAATCTTGGTTTCACCCTCTTCAAGACAGACTTATTTGTTTTCTTGGCAGTCTAGGATATGTTCAAGACTCTTCTCCAGCACCGCAATTCGAAGGCATTGATTCTTCTGTCATCCTTAGTCATTGTCCAACTCTCTGACGCATAGCAAGTAATTGCAAAGACCATGGAGCACTTCAGTCTCTAGACTGGCATTTTTGCTTTTCAGTACTATGGAAAGGTTTCTGACAGCAGCTGACCTGGATGTGTTCACCAATTTGTGCCAAGAAATCTGGAGGACAAGTACTTGGCCACCTGACTGGAAGAGATCCATATTTATCTCCATCCAAAGAAAGGTGATCCGACAGAGTATGGAAATTATCGAACAATATCATCAATACCATGTTGTTGTTGTTGTTATGTGCCATCTAGTCGCTGCGACTCATAGTGACCCTATGTACAACAGCCCTAAACTCCGCTCTGTCCTGTGCCAATCGCACTGTCTCTGACACTCCCATCCCAATTATCCCAGTCACTGAATCAATCCACCTCATAAAGGGCCTTCCCCTCCTACGCTGTCCCTCCACCCTCCCAAGCATGATGTTCCTCTCCAAGGACCGGTCTCTCCTCACAACATGTCCAAAGTATGTTAGACAGAGCCTCAGAATCCTTGCTTCCAAGGAGCCACCAGGTTTAACCCTTTCCAGGACAAATCTTTTTGTTTTCCTAGCAGTCCATGGTATTCTCAATACTCTTCTCCAGCACCACAGCTCAAAGGCATCAATTCTCCTTCTATCCTCCTTGGTCATTGTCCAACTCTCTGATGCATAACAAGTGATTGCGAAGACCATAGCCTGTATCAGATGCACCTTAGTCTCCAGAGAGACACCATTGCTCTTCATTACTTTGGAGAGGTCCCTAACAGCAAACTTTCCCATGGCAATGCGCCTTTTAATTTCCTGGCTGCTGGTGCCAAGACTGTTGACTATGGAGCCAAGCAAACTAAAGCTGTGTACAATCTCAATCTCTTCACCATCCATCCTGAAGCTGCCAGTTGGTCCAGTGGCAAGAATCTTTGTCTTCTTGACATTGAGCCTCAATCCATATTGTAGGCTGCAGTCCTTGAAACTCTGCAGCAGGTGCTTCAGGTCCTCTTCAGTTTCAGCAAGCAGGGTTGTGTCATCTGCATAACGCAGATGGTTGATAAATTGTCCACCAATCTTGACCCCACATTTCTCCTCATAGAGCCCAGCCTCCCGGATAATCTGTTCTGCATATAGGTTGAAAAGGTATGGAGATAGGATGCATCCCTGCAAAATCCTGCTGAAGATTATCCAGAAACGAGGGGAACAGTACATTGACAGAGAACTACCAGAAACACAAACTAAGGTTAGAAGAGGTCGTGGCAGTAGAGAGACGTTATTGCCAATGTCAGAAGGATCTTGGAAGAAAACGATGAGTACCAGCGGGATATCTATGTTTCATTGACTATGCAAAGACATTTAACTATGAGGATCATAACAAATGATCGAGCCTTAGGAGTGCTCAAAAGGACAACTGCCCTCCTTGCTTTGCAACTGCTTGCCTTCACAAATAGCTGTTTCTGACTAAAATGCTTCAGAGCAGCTCTTCACCTACTTCGTCCGCTGATTAGGCCTACCTGCCCGTCAGCAAGGAAGACCAATAAGCGAGCAAGGAAAGTGTTGTGTCCCGCCCCCGCACCGGAACCCCGCCCGCAGGAGTCGTGGACCACAGGGTGCCAGTTCAGGCTGTGCTGTCTGGGCATGAGCTCACAGGCAGTGCGCCTGAGCAGGCGCTGACCGCCGCTTCCCAGGGAGGCGCGGGGCTGGTGCTGTTCTCCCCAGACACCCGGCCACGCCCGCCCTCCAAAGCCGGGTCCCAGCGTGCACCGGGGCGGGACACGCGGTCTGCCTGCCGAGGTGTCTCGGAAAAGCTTTTCTGTCCTCTCGCTTCTCCAAGAAGCCTTGGAACCGCATTTGCAAAACACTGTGCCAAGTACCAGAGGGTTGAGGGTAGGTCAG